AGGTGCCCATGGAAGGGACAATGAGGGGGGAAGGGAGACACAGACAGGAGAGAAAAGGAGAAGATTCAGCAATGAGATCTTCAGAAGACCCTATCATGGCAATCCACACTGGGCCGGCACTGACCCCCGCCATGCTGATCTACACCAGGCCAGAACTGACCCCTCCATGCTAGTCTATACTGGCCCGGCATTGACCCCGCCATGCTGATCTACACCAGGCCGGAACTGACCCCTCCATACTAGTCTATACTGGCCCGGCATTGACCCCGCCATGCTGATCTACACCAGGCCGGAACTGACCCCTCCATGCTAGTCTATACTGGGTCGGCAGTGACCCTATCATGGCAATCCACACTGGGCCGGCACTGACCCAGCCATGCTGATCTACACCAGGCCGGAACTGACCCCTCCATACTAGTCTATACTGGCCCGGCATTGACCCCGCCATGCTGATCTACACCAGGCCAGAACTGACCCCTCCATGCTAGTCTATACTGGGCCGGCACTGACCCTATCATGGCAATCCACACTGGGCAGGCACTGACCCAGCCATGCTGATCTACACCAGGCCGGAACTGACCCCTCCATACTAGTCTATACTGGCCCGGCATTGGCCCCAGCATTGGCAGTCTACACCAAGCTGGCACTGACCCCACCATGCCAATCCACACTGGGACAGAAATGACCCAACAACATAGAACCTAACATAGCTGAACCGGTCAGTCCTCCAATGGGGATTCTTGTTTTCTGAGCGGATTCCTATAGGCTGACTCACCCCCTGGCTATAACTCACAGGGGCCCCAGGGGTCCCGCCCTTTGTCAGCTCCATCCTTCACCAGCTGCAATTTCCATGATGTAACATGAAGGAAAGAGAAAACTTCCCGGTCATGGTGGAGAGTCGGGTGGGTGGAGCTGGGAACTCAGGTATAGCAATTTCTCCACCCAGGAAAGGATGAGGGAGGAGCTGTCGGCACCCGCCCCAAATGAAAAGATTAGTAATAGGCGGAGTCGGAGCTTTCATTCAGGAAAGATGAATGCCTCCACATCCGATCTGTGGGGGGAGGAGAGAAAACATTGGATTGGATAATATTGTTGCCCCCTCCCTCCCCCTAGGGGACTGACACAGCCAGATCTCCAACATATTTCCACCAGATCCCAGCTCCAGATACAGATGTGCCGAAATCCTTCCAACTCCTCCATCTGTGCTGCAGAGTCATTCGGAGAACAAGGAACGCACTCCACCACACACTGCCCCCTCCCCCACCTTCTGATAAGTCACCGACGAGTAAGGACCTCTTGTAGGTTGTTTGCTCTCGGTGTCCCTTTAGGAAGACTTCCCTTCACTTCCTGTACTGGAGACACAACAGGAAGTGAGAGGAAGTACCCTCATAGGCAGCTGTCACCAGAACTGGTGACCCCGTTGGTGGATTCCTCCTCACTTCCTGCTTCAGTGACAACGGTTACATGTTGGATTTCCCATCAACCTGTGTCTCAGTGACACTTCACTTCATCAACATGTAGAAACATCCCCTTTGGCTTCAGATACTCCTTACATTGACCTTATATCTGGCCGCATGGAGTGTGTATAGTCTGGAGGGACGGAGACACATTTACTTGTAGCTGTCATCTCTGAAACAGTTCTGAGCGGAGCTGGAATGTCAGAATGGAAAATGCTGGTAATGTGGGAAACACCTGGCACATGAAGCGTGTGTACACAATGGGCTTCCCATGTTCATTCCCAGAGACAGCTGTGTGGAGGAGGAAACATGGGAGGAACATTGTATAATGGCCCCCACACACCGTCATCCTCCATACAATGTCCAGCCATTGTTGTTCACAGCAGGCCCCTCCCGTGTCATCGCTCTTCCTCACATGGATTTATTAAATCTGATCATCGAGAGATAAGTACCTCCTCCTGACGCCATGACATCACCACTTCCAGACTGAGACCGCCCACTGGAAATGGAGGACATCCCGGCGTCAACAACCACTCAAGGGGGAGGAAGGTGGGCTCTGCACAAGGTAAGGGGGAGAGTCCAACCCAATTATTGGGAGAAACCTGCCTAACCAATGAGAGGTAACCATCTAACCAATGAGAGATGCCTTCCAAACTAATGGGAGGAGCCCAACCAACCACAGAGATGAACCAGCCCTACCAATGGGAGAAACCTACCCAACCATGAGGATGAACCAGCCTAATCCATGGGAAAACTCACCTAACCAGAGGGAGGAACCTGCCTAACCAATGGGGGGAACCTACCCATCCACAGAGATGAACCAACCTTACCAATGGGAGAAACCTACCCAACCATGAGGATGAACCAGCCTAATCCATGGGAAAACTCACCTAAACAGAGGGAGGAACCTGCCTAACCAATGGGGGGAACCTACCCATCCACAGAGATGAACCAACCTTACCAATGGGAGAAACCTACCCAACCATGAGGATGAACCAGCCTAATCCATGGGAAAACTCACCTAAACAGAGGGAGGAACCTGCCTAACCAATGGGGGGAACCTACCCATCCACAGAGATGAACCAACCTTACCAATGGGAGAAACCTACCCAACCATGAGGATGAACCAGCCTAATCCATGGGAAAAACTCAACTAACCAGTGGGAGGAACCCACCTAACCAATGAGAGGAACCTGCCTAACCAATGGGGGGGAACCCGGGGGGGGGGGGGGGGGGCCCACCCAACCACAGAGATGAACCAGCCTTAACAGTAGGAGATACCCATCCAACCACTTGGGTGAAGAAGTCTAATACATGGGAGGAGTTCACCTAACTGTCAGGAGAAGGCTGCGTAACCAATTGAAGAAACCCACTTAACCGATTTTTAGAACCTACCTAAACAATAGGAAGCACCCACCTAACCAATGGAAGAAACCGGCTTAATTTTTAGAAAACGTTATAATGGGAGGGACCTGCCTAGAAATAGAAAAAACTCCCTTAATAAGAAGGAATCCACCTAACCACTAGGAGGTACCCACCTAACCAAGGAGAACCCACCTAACGAATGGGAGGAACCCACCTAACAAAAAAGAGGAACCCACCTAACAAAAAAGAGGAACCCACCTAACCAGTTGGAGGGACCTGCCTAACCACTATGAGGTACCCGCCTAACCAAGGAGAACCCACCTAACGAATGGGAGGAACCCACCTAACAAATAAGAGGAACCCACCTAACGAAAAAAGAGGAACCCACCTAACCAGTTGGAGGGACCTTCCTTAATCACTATGAGGTACCCGCCTAACCAAGGAGAACCCACCTAAACAATGGGATGAACCTACCTAACGAATGGGAGGAACCCACCTAACAAATAAGAGGAACCCACCTAACAAAAAAGAGGAACCCACCTAAGAAAAAAGAGGAAACCCACCTAACAAAAAGAGGAACCCACCTAACCAGTTGGAGGGACCTGCCTAACCACTATGAGGTACCCGCCTAACCAAGGAGAACCCACCTAAACAATGGGATGAACCTACCTAACGAATGGGAGGAACCCACCTAACAAATAAGAGGAACCCACCTAACAAAACAGAAGAACCCACCTAACAAAAAAGAGGAACCCACCTAACCAGTTGGAGGGACCTGCCTAACCACTATGAGGTACCCGCCTAACCAAGGAGAACCCACCTAAACAATGGGATGAACCTACCTAACGAATGGGAGGAACCCACCTAACGAATAAGAGGAACCCACCTAACGAAAAAGAGGAACCCACCTAACGAAAAAGATGAACCCACCTAACGAAAAAGAGGAACCCACCTAACGAAAAAGATGAACCCACCTAACGAAAAAGAGGAACCCACCTAACGAATAAGAGGAATCTGCCTAACCGACAGGATGATCCTGCCTAACCGACGGGAGAACCCTCCTAACCAATAAGATGACCCCCTCATTTATGGGAAGATCCCACCCAAATAATGCTTCTCTCAAAATCCAAACCTAAGCAGCATATCTAGCAAATGTCCAGGATGGTTTCCTAGAATTTGGAATTGATGAACGGACGCACAGTACCATATTGTTGTGTTTGAATAACCTGGACCATACCAAATGTAATATTCCTACAGTGACGCCGACCATCCGTCCTGTGCTGCCTGTGACCTGGACACTCCGGAAGTGTTTGGGTTTCCTTATCTTTATTGTTCATAAACTGATATTTTATATAAACCCAATAAAATCATCTGTGATGGGAAATAACTTTTATATGGATGATGGAAGGAGGTCAAAGACACCACTAAATGTCCTCTCCATCACTGACCATCTCCTCCATTCTCATGCTTCCCTAGATTTCCATCAGATGGAAGGAGGAAGAGGATGGCCCTGGAGAAAAAGTGTAGTGGATGCCGTAAATGCATCCTGATATAAATGTACATCCCTAGACGGAGCAAGAATCATAAATTCGGAGAGATTTCGTATCCAGGGTATAATATCACCGACACTCGGGCAGTAATAGGTCACCCCATGTCTTCTGTGTCTTAAAAAGAGGACCTGCGAGTCCCCAAAACGTTGGTCTTATTTTTTTTTTTACATGACCAATTTGAAGTAAAGACCTCCAAAGACTTCTGGGGTGTTGGCTTTTGAGATTGTGAATTCCACCCCAGACCCCCTCCTTAGATGTCCAGGATTGTCTCCTGTACTGGTGGGTCGGAAATCAGGTCAGTTCTTCTGTTGGGTCACGTGTCCGTCTATTAATAGCACCACCAAGGCCCAAATAGCAGGTGCTAAAGAAATGTCCCTGTCCTTGTTTGTATAAGGCTTCATACCAGGAACCCGGCCAGGCCAGCTCCATATCTGCCGGGTCTGGGCACAGCTGGACCTCTATGACTACCAATTACCCTGATGAGTTATCGGACTCTTCCTGTCCTGAGGGGTCGGATCAGGGGAAGGCCAGCTAGGAGCTAGAAAAGCGACACCCTCTTCTGCCAGGTGGCCCATAGGACACTCCGGATGTTTCCATCATCATTCATCTACTCTGAAGGCTGACCTACCTGTGGAGAAGGAAGTGACTGTTGACGTCGTTACCGGCGTATGCCCGTCTGCGGTGGGAGTTCCACTGCCAATTTCACTGCTGCCGTTGTCGTCTGTACAGAGGGGAAAATTGTCCATTAGAGACCGGAGAAGACCAAAACCACACAGACACGGGTGCAAAGTTTTATCTTCTGCACATTGCCAGCAGATCTACCTTCACGGAAAGAGAGCGCCCCACGTGCCTTTGTACACTACAGAGCGCCCCCACCCAACTGTGTGTACTAGAGAGTGGCCCCATCTGTCTTTATACACTACCCAAGGGCTCTTACCAAACTTTGCAAACTGAAGAGCGCCCTTGGCTGACTTTCCATCACTAGAGAGCGCCCTCGGCTGACTTTCCACACTAGAGAGCGCCCTCGGCTGACTTTCCACACTAGAGAGCGCCCTCGGCCGACTTTCCACACTAGAGAGCGCCCTCACCTGACTTTCCACACTAGAGAGCTCCCTCGGGTGACTTTCCACACTAGAGAGCTCCCTCGGGTGACTTTCCACACTAGAGAGCGCCCTCGGCTGACTTTCCACACTAGAGAGCGCCCTCGGCTGACTTTCCACACTAGAGAGCGCCCTCGGCTGACTTTCCACACTAGAGAGCGCCCTCACCTGACTTTACACACTAGAGAGCGCCCTCGGCTGACTTTACACACTAGAGAGTGCCCTCGGCTGACTTTACACACTAGAGAGCGCCCTCGGCTGACTTTACACACTAGAGAGCGCCCTCACCTGACTTTCCACACTAGAGAGCGCCCTCACCTGACTTTACACACTACAGAGCGCCCTCACCTGACTTTACACACTACAGAGCGCCCTCACCTGACTTTCCACACTAGAGAGCGCCCTCACCTGACTTTACACACTACAGAGCGCCCTCACCTGACTTTACACACTACAGAGCGCCCTCACCTGACTTTACACACTACAGAGCGCCCTCACCTGACTTTACACACTAGAGAGCACCCTCGGCTGACTTTCCACACTAGAGAGCGCCCTCGGCTGACTTTCCACACTAGAGAGCGCCCTCGGCTGACTTTCCACACTAGAGAGCTCCCTCGGCTGACACTAGAGAGCGCACTCACCTGACTTTATACACTGCAGAGCGCCCTCACCTGACTTTCCACACTAGAGAGCGCACTCACCTGACTTTATACACTGCAGAGCGCCCTCACCTGACTTTCCACACTAGAGAGCGCACTCACCTGACTTTATACACTGCAGAGCGCCCTCACCTGACTTTCCACACTAGAGAGCGCACTCACCTGACTTTACACACTACAGAGCACCCTTGGCTGACTTTCCACACTAGAGAGCGCCCTCTCTGACTTTACACACTAGAGAGCGCCCTCACCTGACTTTCCACACTAGAGAGCGCCCTCACCTGACTTTATACACTGCAGAGCGCCCTCACCTGACTTTCCACACTAGAGAGCGCCCTCGGCTGACTTTACACACTAGAGAGCGCCCTCACCTGACTTTATACACTTCAGAGCGCCCTCACCTGACTTTCCACACTAGAGAGCGCCCTCACCTGACTTTACACACTAGAGAGCGCCCTCGGCTGACTTTCCACACTAGAGAGCGCCCTCACCTGACTTTACACACTACAGAGGTGGCGGATCACTTTGATTTCACGCATTCTACAGGTGGCATTATCCATGTATCCATGGTGACAGCAGCTGCGCCAGTTTGGTGAGGAGGACAGAGAGGTCACACGAGGAAAAGCCATATAACCCAGATGATTGTACGGACAAAGTCTACAGAGACAGACACGCCCCGCACACGGGAAGAGGAACGGTGACCCCTCACACAGTAACCGCACAGAAGGTGACGCCACCTGCTCCCAGCAATCAGGAAGAGTAGGACTTCCCCGAGCCTGCTGACCAACCAACCTCCTTCCCATGACCCCCTGCTCCCAGCAATCAGGAAGAGTAGGACTTCCCCGAGCCTGCTGACCAACCAACCTCCTTCCCATGACCCCCTGCTCCCAGCAATCAGGAAGAGTAGGACTTCCCCGAGCCTGCTGACCAACCAACCTCCTTCCCATGACCCCCTGCTCCCAGCATTCAGGATGAGTAGGACTTCCCCGAGCCTGCTGACCAACCAACCTCCTTCCCATGACCCCCTGCTCCAGCAATCAGGAAGAGTAGGACTTCCCCGAGCCTACTGACCAACCAACCTCCTTCCCATGACCCCCTGCTCCCAGCATTCAGGATGAGTAGGACTTCCCCGAGCCTACTGACCAACCAACCTCCTTCCCATGACCCCCTGCTCCCAGCAATCAGGATGAGTAGGACTTCCCCGAGCCTACTGACCAACCAACCTCCTTCCCATGACCCCCTGCTCCCAGCATTCAGGATGAGTAGGACTTCCCCGAGCCTGCTGACCAACCAACCTCCTTCCCATGACCCCCTGCTCCCAGCAATCAGGAAGAGTAGGACTTCCCCGAGCCTGCTGACCAACCAATCTCCTTCCCATGACCCCCTGCTCCCAGCATTCAGGATGAGTAGGACTTCCCCGAGCCTGCTGACCAACCAACCTCCTTCCCATGACCCCCTGCTCCCAGCATTCAGGAAGAGTAGGACTTCCCCGAGCCTGCTGACCAACCAACCTCCTTCCCATGACCCCCTGCTCCCAGCAATCAGGAAGAGTAGGACTTCCCCGAGCCTGCTGACCAACCAATCTCCTTCCCATGACTCCCTGCTTCCAGCAATCAGGAAGAGTAGGACTTCCCTGAGCCTGCTGACCAACCAATCTCCTTCCCATGACTCCCTGCTCCAGCAATCAGGAAGAGTAGGACTTCCCTGAGTCTACTGAGAAACCAACCTCCTTCCCATGGCCCACCTGCTCCCAGCAATCAGGATGAGTAGGACTTCCGAGTCTACTGACCAACCAACCTCCTTCCCATGGCTGGGACCCAGAAGAAGAGAAGGAGGTGTCCTGGTCCACATACAATGGACATGGCAGGAAAGTCCCAGTATTCCACACCACCCACCCCGGCCCTTCCTCAGTCAGTGGGAAATATTTTTCCTTTACAGGCCTGAAGAAAAACCCAGAAGAATGTCTGCAGGGGCCCAATAGGTGCCAGAGGGCCCCAGATGGGCAGGAGGTATGTAGCTGGTCCCTAGGAGGTCCTCAATGTGAGGATTAAGAAAACAGGTGCTCTTCAGATAATGACATTCCTGGCCTCAGGTGAAGCCGGTCTGTACATTCCTGGGGTCAAAGTCCGCCCAATAGATACCAGACTTCCCAGTGACACCCAGCTGCTCCCAGTAACCTGAGAACCTACCAGTGGCAGGAATGTGACAACTGCCAGAGATTAGACTGCAGGGGAGGTGACAACCATCCTCTATAAACCTTCCTCCCTGTCCAGGACTCCACCATAAATCTCAATGACACCATCACCCCAGTGACACCACACTAAACACAGAGCTTTCAAAACCACCAATGATGAAAAATTTTGTTTTATGGTTGTCACTGGGACAGGAAATGAGGGAAAATCATCCAATGGGGACACCTGTTCTGGTGACAACTGACGGGACTTCCCTCACATTGAACAAGATTCCCCATCACTGAATGAAATCTGACTGTAGATTGGAGGGATGAACACACACAGAGTTCAGAGGTCAGTCCATGCTGGAGGGTGCAGACCAGGAGGTTCACCTGGGGGACGGATTGCAAGGGAACATTAGGAGTCTCACCTGTACACACCTAGATTTGGTTCTTTATCTACCCTCCCCCTAAAGGAGACAATAGACAGAGAGATATCTCCAGATGGTGCCAGATGGGACCTCCCCGACACTTCCAGCCCCTTCCAAGAGGAAGGTGACTGACCAATCTCTCCATGCCACCCTCTTTGTCCCTCCTCCAGAAATCAATGAGAACCACTGATGGAGAGATCATCCAGCAAGCTGGAGAATGTGAACCCAAGCTGGGCCGACCTCTGAGATTCTGAATGATCCACAAGTCCAGAAATGTACAAGGGGCTCAAATTCGAAACTCCTCGTAATTATAATCCACACCCCCCCATATTGTTCAGACATTCCCTCCCCCAGACCCCCTCACCTCCAGAGGCCTCATCCCCCATGAAGTCTTCATCATCCGCCAGGTCTCCATATCCCCACCGATGTTCTCCCGTCCGTGACTCTGAATCATTCTCAGGGAAGTACACCTCGTCCAGAACTCGGGAATTGTGGACAATCTGTGGGAAGACAGCAACCAAAGGGTTACAAAGGGTTAACAGGACTCATATTTCCCCAAATATAATAGAATCAGCAAATATGAATCCAAGATGGTCCACCACCCAGCGTGTCCCACCCACACCTACTCTATGGTCCACCACCCAGCGTGTCCCACCCACACCTACTCTATGGTCCACCACCCAGCGTGTCCCACCCACACCTACTCTATGGTCCACCACCCAGCGTGTCCCACCTACTCTGTCTATGGTCCACCACCCAGCGTGTCCCACCCACACCTACTCTATGGTCCACCACTTAGCGTGTCCCACCCACACCTACTCTATGGTCCACCACCCAGCGTGTCCCACCCACACCTACTCTGTCTATGGTCCACCACCCAGCGTGCCCCCCTAACTTCTCCTCTGTCTATGGTCCACCACCCAGTGTGTTCCACCCACACCTACTCTGTCTGTGGTCCACCACCCAGCATGCCCCCCTAACTTCTCTGTTTATGGTCCACCACCCAGTGTGTTCCACCCACACCTACTCTGTCTATGGTACACCACCCAGCGTGCCCCTCTAACGTATCCTCTGTCTATGGTCCACCACCCAGCGTGCCCCTCTAACGTATCCTCTGTCTATGGTCCACCACCCATGTGTGTTCCACCCACACCTACTCTGTCTGTGGTCCACCACCCAGCATGCCCCCCTAACTTCTCTGTTTATGGTCCACCACCCAGTGTGTTCCACCCACACCTACTCTGTCTATGGTCCACCACCCAGTGTGTTCCACCCACACCTACTCTGTCTATGGTACACCACCCAGCGTGCCCCTCTAACGTATCCTCTGTCTATGGTCCACCACCCAGCGTGCCCCCCTAACTTCTCCTCTGTCTATGGTCCACCACCCAGCGTGTCCCCACCCACACCTACTCTGTCTATGGTCCACCACCCAGTGTGTTCCACCCACACCTACTCTGTCTATGGTCCACCACCCAGCATGCCCCCCTAACTTCTCTGTTTATGGTCCACCACCCAGTGTGTTCCACCCACACCTACTCTGTCTATGGTACACCACCCAGCGTGCCCCTCTAACGTATCCTCTGTCTATGGTCCACCACCCAGCGTGCCCCTCTAACGTATCCTCTGTCTATGGTCCACCACCCAGTGTGTTCCACCCACACCTACTCTGTCTATGGTCCACCACCCAGTGTGTTCCACCCACACCTACTCTGTCTATGGTACACCACCCAGCGTGCCCCTCTAACGTATCCTCTGTCTATGGTCCACCACCCAGCGTGCCCCCCTAACTTCTCCTCTGTCTATGGTCCACCACCCAGCGTGTCCCACCCACACCTACTCTGTCTATGGTCTACCACCCAGCGTGTCCCACCCACACCTACTCTGTCTATGGTCCACCACCCAGCGTGCCCCCCTAACTTCTCCTCTGTCTATGATCCACCACCCAGCGTGTTCCACCCACACCTACTCTGTCCATGGTCTAACACCCAGCGTGCCCCCCTAACTTCTTCCCCTCTGTCTATGGTCCACCACCCAGCGTGCCCCCCTAACTTCTCCTCTGTCTATGGTCCACCACCCAGCGTGTTCCACCCACACCTACTCTGTCATGGTCTAACACCCAGCGTGCCCCCTAACTTCTTCCCCTCTGTCTATGGTCCACCACCCAGCGTGCCCACATAACTTCTCCTCTGTCTACGGTCCACCACCCAGCGTGTCCCCCCAACTCCTCCTCTGTCTATGGTCCACCACCCAGCGTGTTCCCCCAACTCCTCCTCTGTCTATGGTCTACACCCAGCGTGTCCCCCCAACTCCTCCTCTGTCTATGGTCCACCACCCAGCGTGTTCCCCCAACTCCTCCTCTGTCTATGGTCCACCACCCAGCGTGTTCCCCCAACTCCTCCTCTGTCTACGGTCCACCACCCAGTGTGATATGTTCTGTTTTGTGGTATGTCCATGTCATGATATGTTCTTGTTGTGGTTAGTCCATGTCATGATATGTTCTCACTGCAGTATGTCCATGTCATGATATGTTCTCACTGCGGTATGTTCATGTAATGATATGTTCTCACTGCGGTATGTTCATGTCATGATATGTTCTCACTGCGGTATGTCCATGTCATATATGTTCTCACTGCGGTATGTCCATGTCATGATATGTTCTCATTGTGGTATGTCCATGTCATGATATGTTCTTACTGCGGTATGTCCATGTCATGATATGTTCTTGTTGTGGTATGTCCATGTCATGATATGTTCTCGTTGTTGTAAGTCCATGTGATGATATGTTCTCGTTGGGTATGTCATGTCATGATATGTTCTCTTTGTGGTATGTCCATGTCATGATATGTTCTCGTTGTCTATGTCCATGTCATGATATGTTCTCACTGCGATATGTCCATGTCATGATATGTTCTCACTGCGGTATGTCCATGTCATGATATGTTCTCACTGCGGATATGTCCATGTCATGATATGTTCTCACTGCGGTATGTCCATGTCATGATATGTTCTCACTGCGGTATGTCCATGTCATGATATGTTCTCACTGCGGTATGTCCACATGGCAGTACTCTGCAGGGATTATGATTATCTATGTAAATCCAGCCTGCGCAGTAACACCCACCCATCAAGGCAATTTGATATTTACATAACTCCACCCAACAGCCTGCCCACTCCATGAATAAGGACTGAATGCCTCCAGGGAGGAGTACTGAGACGGGGTGCCGTGATATTTCATGTACAGCCCCCTGCCGGCCCCTCCCATCAGCCATGCATAGAGAAGCACAGAGACCCAGTGATGATGTCACTGAGTCTAAAAATAAAGCAGTTCATGAAAACTGAAAGGTTTATAATACAAATGTCATGAGGGGGGGGATTGAGGGTTGGGGGGGAGGAGGGGGGGTGAGGGGGTTGGGGGGGGAGGAGGGGGGGGGGGTGAGGGGATTGAGGGTTGGGGGGGGGGGAGGAGGGGGGGGAGGGGGATATAATCAGAATAAACTTCATCTGTACAATCCGTTATAAGCGATGAATGGATCTTATTATAGAGGATATAAAAGGCGTGGCGGGGGGGGGGGGGGGGGAGGGGGCGCAGCGCTCGGCACGTCTCCTGTACATTTCCGCGGATATTTCGGCGTGCTCTGCCCTCCTCCATCATACGGCACATTAGCGCCCGGTCCCCCCTCCCCCGGCTCATCAGACCGCATGAAGCCTGGAATGTGTCGCTGCAGCAGTTTGCTGAGCAAATACGGCGCGGCTTATGATGACAGCGCGGTCAGGTGACAGCGCCATCGGGAGGCCAACAAAGGCCGACATAAAAGGTGTTGAATCAGCGCGGCCGGATCTGAATGAGAACTGGGGGCCCCCCAGAGCCGCGGGGAAACGCAGCCTGGCCCCCAAATACCACCACGGCCAGACAGCCCACCGGGACTCGTGCAGGAGCAGAGCGCGGAAATACCGCCAACGTCCGGGGGATACAACCGACCTGAAATCCCAGAAATCTGAACAATCCCAGAAATCCCAAAAATCTGAGAGAAATCAGAAAAAATACAAGAAATCTGAGAAATCCCCAGAAATCCCAAAAATCCCTGAATCTGAAAAATCCGAGAAATCCAAAAAATCTGAGAAATCCGAGAAATCTGAAAAATACAAGAAATCCCAAAAATCTGAAAAATCCGAGAAATCCCAAAAATCTGAAAAATCCCGGAAATCTGAAAAATCCCAAAAATACAAGAAATCCCAGAAATCCGAAAAATCCGAGAAATCTGAAAAATCACAGAAATACAAGAAATCACAGAAATCTGAGAAATCTGAAAAATCCCAGAAATCTGAAAAATCCCAGAAATCCCAAAAATACATGAAATCCCAAAAAAGTGAAAAATCTCAGAAATCCCAGAATTCTCACATTCCTCCACCCAGATATCCGGTTGTAGAACCTCCCATCCCCCGCTTCACTACATGACACCCAGCAGACCTGTCACCACATGTGTGACTTCCGGAATGTCTGTGTGACCCCCCCCCCCCCCTCCAGGTAGATACTACCACCCCTCCCCCATCACAATTCCCCCCCCCCCCCCGACAATGACATCATCTGATCTCTCCAGAAGCTCGGCACCATCTCTCTTCAGGCCTCATCCGGGGTCACCATCTACTTCCTACAGTGAGAGGGCAGCTCAGAGATCAGAGACACAATCATGTAATCCTGGTGCCTGTGCTGTCCCTGGCCATGTTCACAAATGTCTGACACAGATCAGCCCCTGTCTGCACAATGTACAGTCTGATCACTGGGGGAGGGGAGACTGAGGAAATGCCTGCAGCAGACCGATGACACCATTCTGTCCTCTATGGGGGCAGCCTAATAGAAGGCTGTATTTGGCTGTGGGGCTCAGCTCAGACAGTCCTCCTTTCACATCCAGCACAGAAGGGGTGAAGGTTTCTGGCGGACCAGCAGCTGCCATCCCCGGGGCCCCCATGTTGTGCAATACAGAAAACAAGCAGCAAGCTGGGGGCCAGGAATGGGGAAAAGGGGGGGGGGACCCGGGAGGGGGGCCCAGATCACTTCCTCTGTGTGCAATCAATCCTGAAAACGGAACACAGCGTCCCTGACCCCCCCAACATCAGTCTCTGTACCAGAGGAGCTAACACTCTAATGTCCCCTCCCCCCACAGTCCCATCAGTCTCTGTACCAGAGGAGCTTACACTCTAATGTCCCCTCCCCCGCAGTCCCATCAGTCTCTGTACCAGAGGAGCTTACACTCTAAGGTCCCCTCCCCCACAGTCACATCAGTCTGTGTACCAGAGGAGCTTACACTCTAATGTCCCCTCCCCCACAGTCACATCAGTCTCTGTACCAGAGGAGCTTACACTCTAATGTCCCCTCCCCCACAGTCACATCAGTCTCTGTACAGAGGAGCTTACGCTCTAATGTCCCCTCCCCCACAGTCCCATCAGTCTCTGTACAGAGGAGCTTACGCTCTAATGTCCCCTCCCCCACAGTCCCATCAGTCTCTGTACTAGAGGAGCTGACACT